GGACTGGGCGTTTTTTTCTGAAACAGTTTTACGCAACAGTTTTTCTCAATGAAACGAAGAAACGTTTTCTTGTTTGTTCACAAACAAGTTCTTAGAAATAAAACAAAACTGTGGAACGTACGTCGCTGGACGAAAGGAATGAAATGAATAACCAGCACAGACCATTACAACCATTAAGTTGTTTGTGGCAGAAACTGTTTTACGAAAAAATTGTTTTACTATTACTCGTCCTCGAACGGGGAAGGGAACTAGGGTTCTATATACTGCGCTCACTCCTTTCACAAACAGCATATAATGAGCACAGCGGCGTAGCTACGTAACCAAGGGCCCTGGGGCAAATCAAAAAATGGGGCTCCACTGCTATCTAAACTGGTTGGTCGCCAGTGAATTTTGATAGTAGAGCCCAATGTTTGATGTTGTTTCCGAAAACGTTATACCAATCCTGCAGCGTTACAAAAAAATTCTGTATTACCACACAACTGCTAACGGTATCATTTGTCACCAAATTTAAATTGTGAGTGACACAATGTACGTACTCCGCGTTAGGCTGGATATCCTTAATATGTTATTGTACACTATTTTACACACCACTCTTCACACTGCCTCCATCATAACCTTGCCTTACACATTTTTTTAAATCAATATTTGTGTCGATAAAAATGTAATCACTTGGTTGACTAATTGATGACTGCATAAATGCCTAGAAACACTTCTTTTACTCCTATATCAATTGGTTGTCCATTTTCCGATCTGGTTATTACTGTATACCTCACAATAATGCTTAACTAATCTACCTTCGATATGTACTGTGTCGTAACCATTATGATGGCGAAAAACGGTGACGCCCTAATTTGTTCTAGTAGATGGGTTTCGAGTTTAGTTCCCAAGCTTTTAATCATTTCATTTTGAATTGTTACGCTCAGATATCTTGTAGATCCTAAAAACATTTAAAAAAAACACAATTTCAAAAAAGTCCTGATATTACAGTTAACAATTACAAACAAAATGAAATGATAAAAAACTTAGAAATAATAATAATAATAATCCTTTGGGCATATCCAAAACTTGCCGCAAAATGTGATCATATCGGACGACAAGCTCTACAAAGGACAGAAAATTTCTATGGTCTTCTTGAGTTAAGTCGTCTCGATGTCCTCTCAAAGCCAAAGAACTCTTTGCTAGGGTAAGTATGATATCGAATAACCTTTGAAGAACTATTTTCCAAAATGATTCTTCTTTGCGAATTTCATTTCCAAGTGCCTTGTCAATAGTATTAGTATAATTTTTCTTCTAAAGTTCATATACAGCACATGCTTCCGTATGGCCACTCGAACAACGGTATTGTTTAATTCTTTATGATAAATGCTTTCGTTTTAGCCGTGTAGTGGTGGTTGAGAATATTCACTACCCCATATCTTCCCGTGGATGTCGTAAGAGGCGACAGAGGGAGACAGGCAGGAGATGGGCAGCAGCATCTTCCTAATAACAACAATAACATAATAAAAAACTGCGGTTGCCAACCCGCTTGCCAAGCGTGGCAACTATGGCAAATATCCCCCATAAGCAATGACACAAATAGACGGCCCCCAGTCCCCGGCGGCCCCGCTATTCCTGGCTACGGTGGCGACCATGGTAACGGCGGGGCAGGGGGTGCTAAGAATCTCCGGTGGAGGTTCGGTTGCCGCCTACGACGACTCGACCTGGCAACGTATAACGCACGCAGCCTGAGGACTGACGAGAAGATACTGGAGCTGGAAGAAGAGGTAGACAAGTTGCGCTGGCATATTATTGGATTTTCTGAGGTCCTAAGAGAGGGGGGAGGACACTGTAATCCTCGAGTCCGGCAACTTGTTCTATCACCGGGAGGGCGACCATCTGTCCCAAGGAGGTGTCGGATTTATCGTCCACAAGTCTCTCGTCAACAACGTTGTAAAGATTGGGAGTGTGTCGACGAGGGTCGCGTACCTGATACTCAGAATCACCAAATGGTATTCGCTGAAGGTCATACAGGTCTACGCACCAACCTCGCATATCCCGATGAGGAGGTGGAGGAAATGTATGAGGATATTTCTAGAGCCATGCATTCCTCCAAAACCTACTACGCGGTGTTGATGGGAGACTTCAACGCAAAACTAGGCACAAGAGAAGGCGGTGAGCTGAAGTTAGGGAAATTTGGAGTATGGCAACGGAACCGTAGGGGCCAGCAGCTGATGAACTCTTTCTTCCAGAAGCGGCCCCACAGGAAGTGGACCTGGTCGAGCCCCGACGGTTCGACAAAAAATGAGATTGACTTCATTATGACGACCAGATGCCAACTGTTCAGTGATGTCTCAGTGATCGTAAGGGTGAAAACCACCTAGGAGGATGCCTCGTGTAGAGGTGAAACACGTGTCGTATTATGGTCGATGGTGTGTCTTGCCTGGAATAGTGGTGTTGAGAGTAGTGGTGCTTGGTCTAGTGGTGACGGAGTTAGTGTATGCAATTGAGGGAGGGCGGGAGGTGCGCTTCAATCCAGGTAAGACACATCATTTTATATGTTTAGCGGAAAGTTGCAAAGAAATTTATATTTTTATTTTTTATTATAATGGATTTCCGCAAAGTAACGCCTGATCTATCAATTAGGGTTAAAACCGGCAGCGATCACCGAATGGTTAGAGGCACACTGAACCTAAACGTTAAGTTGGAGAGGTCTCGTCTAATGAAGTCAACGCTCCGTCCCCCCTCGTGCTCTAATCCAGAATCCCGAGACTTTTCAGCTCGAGTTACGTAACCGCTTTCAGTGCCTAGAAGATTGCAATGCAGTGGACGATATGAATGACAAGCTCGTGGAAACTGTCCATGCGGTCGGAGCTAAGTTCTGCAAGACCCGCCGCAGAAGGACACAAAAACTCTCCGATCACACTCTTAATCTCATGGCTGTTAGACGGGAGATGAGGCTGCAATCGTCAACAGATTTGACAGCATACAGGCAACTGAACAGACAGATCTCCAAATGCATGCGGCAAGACTTACGCAACTTTAATACTGCTCGTATTAAAGAAGCGATCGAGCGGAACCAGGGCTCCAAAGTCTTTGCCAGAGATCTGTCTGCCAGAAAGAGCCAACAATACAAGACTGAGTGTGGCAGCATCGTTTCCGGGACACCTGAGATTTTGAGTGAGATTGAGAGGTTCTATTGGCAGCTGTACACATCGTCGTTGGAGCCACACGCAAGTGTGAGTAACGATACAAGAGAAAGTCTTACCCGACACTATTCCGATGATATCCCGGACGTCAGTCTGAGCGAGATTAGAATGGCTCTCCAGCACCTTAAAAACGGCAGGGCCCCAGGCGAGGATGGAATTACAGCGGAGCTTCTGAAAGCGGGTGGAACACCGGTACTTGAAGTCCTTCAGAGGCTCTTCAATTCCGTCCTCCATGGTGGCACTACTCCGGAGGCGTGGAGCAGAAGGTGGTCTTGTTCTTTAAGAAAGGCGAAAACGCTCTCTTGAAGAACTACAGATCGATTTCCCTTCTGAGCCGCGTCTACGTGCTGTTTTCGAGAGTCATTACGAATCGTCTCGCACGCAGACTCGACGACTTCCAGCCTCCCGAACAAGCCAGTTTCCGAAAAGGCTTCAGTACCATAGACCACATACATACCCTGCGGCAGATTGTACAGAAGACCGAGGAGTACAATCTGCCACTTTGCCTGGCGTATGTGGACTATGAGAAAGCTTTTGATTCCGTCGAAATTTGGGCGGTGCTACAGTCCCTTCAGCAGTGCCAAGTTGACTGTCGATATATCGAGGTGCTGAAGTGTTTGTACAGTAGGGCTACGATGGCTATCCGAGTACAGAACCAGAGTTCGAAACCTATCCAACTGCAGAGAGGTGTAAGACAGGGTGACGTTATATCCCCGAAATTCTTCACCGCTGCGTTGGAAGACGTTTTCAAGCTACTTGACTGGAAAGGATACGGTATTAACATCAATGGCGAGTACATCACTCACCTTCGATTTGCCGACGATATAGTCCTTATGGCAGAATCGCTGGAGGACCTTAGCACTATGCTCAATGACCTCAATGGTGTCTCCCAACAGATAGGTCTTAAGATGAACATGGACAAAACAAAGATTATGTTCAATGTCCATGTCACACCTATGCCGGTAGTTGTGGGGAGCACTATGCTCGAAGTTGTTGACGAGTACGTTTACCTGGGACAAATAGTCCGACTGGGTAAGTCCAACTTCGACTGAGAGGTCAATCGACGGATTCAACTCGGCTGGGCAGCGTTCGGGAAGTTACGACACATCTTCTCGTCAGGTATAACTCAATCTCTGAAAACTAAAGTGTACAACCAGTGCGTGTTGCCAGTGATGACTTACGTATCAGACATGGTCCTTCACTGCTGGCCGTATGAGGACGCTCAAGGTCGCTCAGCGAGCTGTGGAGAGGGCTATGCTCGGAGTTTCTCTGCGTGATAGACTCAGAAATGAGGATATCCGCAGTAAAACCAGAGTGACTGACATAGCCCAACGGATTAGTAAGCTGAAGTGGCAATGGGCCGGCCATATAGCTCGAAGAACCGATAACCGATGGGGAAGAAAGGTTCTCGAGTGGCAGCCTCGTACCGGTAGGCGTAGTGTAGGGCGACCCCCCACTAGATGGAGTGACGACCTGGTAAGACATGCAGGAAGTCGATGGATGCAGGTGGCTCAGGACCGTGCTTTGTGGCGTTACTTGGGGGAGGCCTATGTTCAGCAGTGGACTTGTGAAGGGCTGTAATGATGATAATGAAATGCTTTCAATCCCGAATTCCCTTACATCAAACAATATTTCTTTGTGAAGCAAATGACCAGCAGGGTTGACAATAGACAGCGTCTAGTATTTTGGAATAACACAACCAAAAATTATTAACTGGTCCATATTTAGAACTTGAAATTATTCTGGTTGATATCTGTTGGAAAAGGTCCTGAAGGCTGTAAAGACCCCATATCAAGAATTTGACGTTTTTCGTTATCACTTAATATTTTGTACGTGAATATCGTACACATTTTCGAAAAATGTAAAGGTCTGCGGTTCCTCCAAATCCTCCACCCTTATGTGTGCCATGCAAACATCATCCACGTTCACATGATCGACGGTGGAGGTATCTTCAACTGCAATAATTGTCGAGTCTTCTTCAGTAGGCTTCTCAACCAACACTGCAGTAACAACAATATTTGAGTTACTATCAATAAAAATATTTTTTTCCAGAAGTACTTGCAGGAGGTTGACTAAAAAACTTGTCAATTTTGGTTTACTATCTTCTCTTTCTTGACGTTGTTTGCATTTAAATGCACCACTGGGTTCTTCTTTTTTGTCCATAATTTTTGTTTTTTAATTTATTTATGCAATATTTGTAACAGATTGTGCGCGAGTAGGTACTCACTGTTCACTGACGACGTTAAAAGTAAAAGGAAGGAGAAACGTAATGATACGCTACTAGACGTCGTTGGGGAATCCCCGGCGAATATTTTATCGCCGCTAGTGTTACCACATTTAGGAGACCAAGAACGATCTCCTCGCGCGCGGGCCTTAATAATGCACCTACTGCAGGTGACCTGCATTTTTTTTTCACGATATTTCGCGTTATACAATGAGTAGCCGACATCTATAGATTTGACATGATTTATTGACGTAATGGACATCAATGGTAGTAAAATCAAATAAAATTGAAAAACTAAGTTGACCAGTACTAAAAAGTTTGTATTGTTTTGACAATAATTGTTCCGGTAATAATTTCGCACCGTTATTGAGAGTTTCTTGAGTATTAATAAATTTAACAAAGCTCTACAAAGTTCTGTGTAAGTACTAGAGAGCATAGATTACTGTATACAACATGTAACACAATTAACGTACTTTGAGAAAGTAGTTTGTTCAGAATCGTTTACTGAATCGATTCGTATCATTTTTAATATAGGTAATTTTTTATCCCAAAAATAATTAAAACTACGTAAATTACAGTCGCACTAAACCTGTACAGTCAAAACAAACTGAAATGGGCCGTAACTTAAGGCAATAAGACTTTTGAGAGTGCAGTTTAATTTGTATTATTACTAATTCTGTCATTCAATAAAAATAAAGAAAAATGAAACTTTATTTCAAGCACGTTAGAGTCTTTGCGTTCGTGGATTTGTACTGTGACTACAACATTCTTCCGGAATTAGTATAACTAATTTGATAAATAATCAGTGCATAAAAATGTTTAACTAAAAATTCAGTGTATGTATTATGATTTTAACATAATATACTAATTGGGGTGTCTGAGGGTGTGCGTTAATTACGTTACATATTGTATATACTAGAGCTAGAGTATGGAGCGTAGACAGACAAATGGTGCAAGTAACCTATGAGCTATGGAGTATAGAGGTAAGGAGAACAATCTCTCATAAGAGAATAGTTAAAAAGTGTCCATCTGGAAGCAATAAATAAAAGTTCAAAAACTCCACAACAGCGCTGGAGCAGCTAAAGGAAACGGATACATGAAATGAACTTAGCAGTTGTCGACGCTGTGAAGGGTGCTGCAAAACTGCTCAGTAGCTCTAAAATAATTTTATTTAGTAAATATAACCTCGAAAAACTCGTCTATTCCACTAATATTTTTCTGCGCGTTCTTTAAAATTTACCCCGTACCTATAGTGGCGCCACTCTTATTTAACGGTTTTCTACGAACACTTTTTAATACACAGTCTGTACTCCTTACCTCTACACTCCATACTACATTACCATAGATCTCCGGCACAGGTTATACGTGGTAGAGCCATGCTGCAGTTATATTAGTAGTATAGTTGTAGCACGAATGGGTCGGCTCGACCGGGGAAGGACCACCCTATTCTATAAAAAAACGCGCGCAATACATTGCTGTTCATTGAGATTGTCCAACGTATGCGGCGTATTCTACCAGTGGCGGGTGCCGATTGCTGGGCCTGCGAAGACCCTGCCGACACCAAGCCCGCTGGTGGGGATGATGGATGCGAGAGGCTACTAGGTGGTCGAGCAGCACCTCGCGCTCGACTGGCGGTATGCATGCCGTCGCGTCTAGCGCCAGCCCCAGACGCGCCCCGGCGACCCCCAGGCAGCGGCCCTTTGCGCGTTCTATAGAATTCCATCATCCATTTTATGGGCGTCATTCAACGGGAGAAGCCCAGACCCGGCGCTGTTTCATGGTGAGGCCATGTGCACAAGCGGGCCTTTGCACCTTCAATTTATACCGAGGCACGGCACTAACACTGCTTGGCAAGGTGCTGACTGACTGCGTTGACGTAGTGGTTTTTTCACGTAACCTTTACGTCAACGGGCGATGGGGTCGTCGCTTCCCTACACCTTTATTATTTATTTATTTTTGTCAATAATTAAAAAATTACTTCGTAGATACTACTTACCGACGGCAGCGCGACTATAAATTCTACAAATTTTCAGGGACAGGCGGGCTAATGCTTTAGCACGTAGCGATCATTCTTCATAAGGAGTGTAGAATTATTTTATTGCTTTCAAAATTTTTATTTTCATAATCACTTTCAACGTATTTTACGGCGATTTATCATACACCGTAACTACTCGAGCGCTGTTGTGGAGGGTTCTTGAACAGTTATTTACCGCTTACGGATGGACACATTTTCAACTATTCTTCTAAGGAAGATTGACCACTAAGGGGATCCGTCTCTGTATTAAAAAATGTCCGTGGAAAGGGCTAAATAAGGTAGGCGCCACTGTAGCTAGGGAAACTTTTTCTAACTTTTTATTGCACAAACTTTCACCATAATTTTTTTATAATTACTATTTTATTGTTTTCAAAATTTTTATTTTCAAAATCACCCTCAACGTGTTTCACGGTGGATTTTTCTAGGTTACCTATATTTACTAAATTATTTTATACATCGTGAGTAGTTAAGGTTTTAAATATTGCAGTTTCATCAAGTACTCTAGTTACCACAAAAATTAAATTCCTCAACTCAGCACTCTTCACTTGGTCGACAACTACTAAGTTTATTTCATACCCTCTAGCTACTCCAGCGCTGTTGTGGAGTGTTCTTGAACTGTTATTTACTGCTAACAGATGGACACTTTTTCAACTATTCTCCTAAGTAAAATGGTACTCCTTATCTCAATACTCAATGTACTCCATGTTCAAAATTTAAGGGCGCTTTCATATTTTTTAGCCCTTTATAGACAAATGACAAAAATGTACCTTACGTTCACCTATAACGATTTTATTTTATACTTTGTTATTCGATTTTAATTGGTAAACATTATTAATTTTCTTTCCATGTAGGTAGTGTCACCTGTTAAAATAATAAAGCGCTAAATTTAAGCTCTAAAATAATATATTTTAAAAGTCAGGGGTATAATTTTAGTCTTTCATCAAAATTAAATGAAACGCTCATGAGGCGTGCACTTTTGGATTTTCCAAAAATTTTTAAATTTTGTCAACTAATTTTTTGCAATTTAACACCTACTTTGAAATAACTGCCTCTCACGATATCTCCATATTTTTTCTAATAATTTTTCCAATAATTCTCAATAGATTTCTGTAAGATAATAAACCCTATCATGAATATAGACTAGGTATATACAACAAGGTACTAGGTACTGGGTAATGTAATGTTCTATAAAAAATTAAATTATTAATTAAATAGTTCCTTTTAAAAATAAAGTTTTTTTAATGCTATAAAATAAAATATACTTTTGTATTCGTTTAAGCCCTATGTGTGTTTTGCGGTAGGTTAATAAGAGCTAAATCAAGCACTAATTTTAATTAAACATAAATGTGTTACCTAATTCATGTTTCCATTAACTTTCCGCAACGTACCAATAACCAATAACACGTTATCTATCACGTAAATTCACACGTGCGAACTCTCAATGCCGTGACATTACATTAGCGAAAAAATCGAGCGCCCTTGCTTCCAAGGTAAGAGCATCAAGGCCAAGGTCTTTGAGTCCTTACTCGAGGCCAAGTTCACGAGAACCTTGTGACGAGGACTTGGCCTCGGTCCAAGGATAAACCTTGGATTAGGTCAAACGAATTTTATTATGAAGGGCATTTTAGATCGTTTTGTTTGGGCACCATTTGAAAAGACTGGCGCAGTTCCAGCCGATATATATTACACTGCCATCTAAACATCACAGCTAAAACTATTACAATATACTTTCTTCCACTAGGGCAAGTTCACGAGAACCTTGTAACGTAGACACAGCCTCGATTACGCTGCAATCTATGAAGAAAACCTTGAATCATATTTAAAAAAAATTGAGATTGTTTTTATTTTGACACCTTTAAAAAATTTCGTAGTTTCCTTAAATGTATCTTATACTGCCATCTATGAATTACAATTGTAACTATTACAATACACATCTTGTTTATTATAAGGACGCCACCTAGTCGTACACGGAGGCAAGTGTATGGAACTTTGTAAAGGGTCTTGATCCAGGCATAAAACCATAAATCAGATTAAAAAATATATCAATCATACTTATGGCAATTTAGATCGTTTTGGTTAGGCACCTTTAAAAAACTTTCGTAGCGATGTATATTACACTGCCATCTAGCACTACAACTACAACTATAATAATTCAAAACTCGGTTTGTGACAGAGTTTCTGAGTCTCATAACGGTATGAATAAACCTTTAATAATACAAAATTTTAATCATTATGAGAAATTTAGATCGTTTTTATTTTTGCATATTTTGGAAAGACTGATAAAAGTATTTCATTGATTACAATCATAACTATTACGATACATGAAAGTTAATTAGGCCGCCATCTAGTCGTATCCAAGGGCAATTTCAGCCTGCAACGAGGACACGGCCTCGATTCAAAAAAATCGAATATAATTTTTTTTGAAAAAGAAATTTAATAACGTGTGTATTTTGTCAAGAAGCTTAAAACAATAAGCATCTTATATTTTCAAGTTTTAGTTAATATTTATTACGCTGTTATCTAACAATTCCCAAAAGAACTATTAATACGTTGTATTTTGTTGTGTTATATCCGCCATCTAGTAGTTGTATATTGAAAGAACTATATAACACTGTAAATACAGAAATAAAAATTATTTTAGATATTTAGAATTCTTATTAGTAATACCTTAGTTAGGTAATGGTAAAATAATTATAATACGTCCTGGTAAATAGCTTTCTATACCCTTAAGCACGGGAAAAAGCAGTACCTACACGCACTGTTGTTTCGCGGCAGAAATAAGAGATGAACTTCTCGGTAGACTTACCACCTAGCCTAGTGAAGATTGATGCCTGGTTGCAGGTTTAATAGTGCCCCTTGCGCGCTACAGGTTGAATAAAACTAATTAAGCAGATTTTGTGGCGT